AAACACTCCATGGACAATCTCATTGGTTCTGGGAGGGGTAAACTCTGTTCCAGCTGAGGATCCCAATTCCAGCTTATTCCCCAGAATGAGCCAAAGAGGAACTGCGTCGTTTTCGCTCTATAGCCAGATAACCCTGAGCACCATCTTCAAATAATGATAATAATAATAATAATTTATTATTTATACCCCGCCCATCTGGCTGGGTTTCCCCAGCCACTCTGGGCAGCTCCAAATCGAATATTAAAAACACAATACAGCATTAGACATTAATAACTTCACTAAACAGGGCTGCCTTCAGATGTCTTCTAAAAGTCAGATAATTGTTTATTTCTTTGACATCTGATGGGAGGGCGTTCCATAGGGCGGGCACCACTACCGAGAAGGCCCTCTGCCTGGTTCCCTGTAACCTGACTTCCTGCAGTGAGCGAACCACCAGAAGGCCCTTGGCGCTGGATCTGTGTCCAGGCTGAATGATGGGAGTGGAGACGCTCCTTCATGTAGCGTTCTGTAAAGTAAAAACCTTTTTCTTCTTTTTTCTTTTTGAGGGGTTTGTGTGTCATGAAACCATCACTCTGTGAGAAAACCTATATGTATAATGTATAAGTAAAACCTTGGCTTTACAGTGAGATGATAGGAACAGACATGTAAAAGAGGCAGTTTTCTGCACACAGGGATCACTAGAAATAGCATGGGGGGGGGGAGAGACAAAAGTGCTGTCAAACAGGCCAACAGAGCAGAAAAATAAATACAGTAATGGTGTGACTTAAGGCTACAACCCTCTGCTTGCTTGCAGCCAATACTTCCCAGTTTAATTTGTTTGGCACATACCCTTTATGCCCCATAGATTATGTGTAAAAGTGGAAAGGAGTGGCTGAAAGTCTCCAGCACACAAAGGACTGTGGGGAAGGAAGGAGGCAGAGAGGAGTTTGCACCTCTGCTACTTAGCTAGGTACATCTCTGGAAGGACGCCTGTCTTTTATGTAAAGAACTCTCCTATGTACAAAGCCTCTTTTAGCATGACAGTCTAGGGCGGGGGTCGGCAACCTGCGGCTCCAGAGCCGCATGCGGCTCTTTAAAGCCTTTGCTGCGGCTCCGGGGCGGTGGCGAGGGGAGGAGGCGAGGGGCGGAGGCGAGGGGCGGAGGTGACCAGCCTGCCGCCCGGCGGGCGGGGCGCCGTAAAGCAGAGCGCCCCCCTCGCCAGGCAGACATCCGCAGCGTGGGGAGCCTTGCCGGACTTTCCGGCAAGGCTCCCGACGCTGCGGATAGCAGCCTGCCGCCCAGTGGGCGGGGCGCCCTAAAGCAGAGCGCCCCCCTCGCCAGGCAGACATCCGCAGCGTGGGGAGCCTTGCCGGAGGTCCCGGCAAGGCTCCCCACGCTGCGGATAGCAGCCTGCCGCCCGGCGGGCGGGGCGCCGTAAAGAAGAGCGCCCCCCTCGCCAGGCAGACATCCGCAGCGTGGGGAGCCTTGCCGGAGGTCCCGGCAAGGCTCCCCACGCTGCGGATAGCAGCCTGCCACCCGGCGGGCGGGGCGCCGTAAAGAAGAGCGCCCCCCTCGCCAGGCAGACATCCGCAGCGTGGGGAGCCTTGCCGGAGGTCCCGGCAAGGCTCCCCACGCTGCGGATAGCAGCCTGCCGCCCAGCGGGCGGGGCGCCGTAAAGAAGAGCGCCCCCCTCGCCAGGCAGACATCCGCAGCGTGGGGAGCCTTGCCGGAGGTCCCGGCAAGGCTTCCCACGCTGCGGATAGCAGCCTGCCGCCCGGCGGGCGGGGCGCCGTAAAGAAGAGCGCCCCCCTCGCCAGGCAGACATCCGCAGCGTGGGGAGCCTTGCCGGAGGTCCCGGCAAGGCTTCCCACGCTGCGGATAGCAGCCTGCTGCCCGGCGGGCGGGGCGCCCTAAAGCAGAGCGCCCCCCTTGCTAGGCAGACATCCGCAGCGTGGGGAGCCTTGCCGGACTTCCCGGCAAGGCTCCCCACGCTGCGGATAGCAGCCTGCCGCCCCGCAGGCATCGGCCAGCCCCACAAGCTCGGGGGACAGCAGGGAGGCGAAGCGCCGCCATCCCGCTGTTCCTCGACCTGGTTCAGTTTCCCCGACCTGCTTTTGGGGGGGAAATAAAGGGAAATTTTTTCCCCTTTATTTCCCCCCAAAAAAACTAGGTGCGTCCTATGGGACGGAGCGTCCTATGGGGCGAAAAATACGGTATTTTTATAATGACGAATGCCTCATTATTAATTATTATTTACATCAGGCACTGATTATGATTTATGGTACACTGGGGCCCTGATTAATTTTCTATGGCATTTTGGGGCATTGATTATTGGGCATAGCAAGTCGCGGTCGCGTGGAATTTGTGCTTTGTGACCGTTTGAAGTGGGGTTTTTTCTTGGGAGGCTGGGCGGCACGAAGAGAGGGATTATTTTTATAATGATGAGGATGACATTGGGCCCTCATTATTAATTATTATTTACATCAGGCACTGATTATGATTTATGGTTCACTGGGGCCCTGGTTAATTTTCTTTGGCATTTTGTGGCATTGATTATGCAGTCGCGGTCGCGTGGAATTCCACGTGGAGTTAGTTGCCTGAAGCCCCTTTTTAGTTGCTTGAAGCCCCTTTTTAAACTTAAGCAGGTGAAAGTTTGGTGAATTGCTGCCAAGGAGTGTGGTGGAGTCTCCTTATTTGGAGGTCTTTAAGCAGAGGCTTGACAACCATATGTCAGGAGTGCTCTGATGGTGTTTCCTGCTTGGCAGGGGGTTGGACTCGATGGCCCTTGTGGTCTCTTCCACATATGTATGTGAGCAGGTCTTCTCCAACATGAACTATATTAAAAACAAGCACCGATCACGCCTCACAGATGACAGCTTGCAAGCCTGTGTGAAAATGAAGGTGACGTCTTACAGCCCTGATGTGCAGACACTGAGCACTGAGGTTCAGGAGCAAAAGTCCCATTAACCTGGTTACCTGGTTGTAAATTAAATATTTTAATTAGCTATTAATTTGTCCTTTTTTCTTGAGATTGACAGCTGACTGCACGATCCTGTATATATAGCATTAAGGCCAGAAACAATATATGTAGTGTTATATTTGTTTTAAATGTTGCAATGTTTTTGCGGCTCCCAGTTGTTGTTGTTTTTTCGGAAACGGGTCCAAGTGGCTCTTTTTGTCTTAAAGGTTGCAGACCCCTGGTCTAGGGTAAATGCTATCAGGAAAGATAATCCCTTGAATGGGACATCAGTTCTCTGATTTGCCTTGGAGATTTCCCTCTACAACAACAACTTACAGCAAACTGATCATGTTGCTCTATTCCTGGGATGCAGAACCTGCCCTGTCGATGTTTCAACTTTGCATAGAAATGTTGTAAAGTAGAGCTCTCTTAGCATTTTGGTCCCACGCTCCACCCCAGCATACACAGCGAGAAGTCTTGTTCAGATGGAACTCTGCTCATATCCTGAGACTATGTGTGCTTTTTGGCTTTGCCCTGAACAATGATAGTTTCAAAAAAAAAAAAAAAAATCCTCAAGAAATCAGGATAGCTCAAGCTAAGTATTTGTGGGAGGAGGGTATTTTCCTGTCTCAGCCAATATGCATAATGGAGTGTCACCAGAATTAGTCCCCAGAATGTTTGCCACATCTCATGTAAGTAAGTACGTCCATGCCCTTGTTCAGATATTAATTAACTCTAGGAAAATTATAATCTAGCAGGACCTTTTCTCAGAAATTGTATTAAGCCTGGGGCACCTCAGTCAGCTGGCTGGGAGCTCAGATTGCTCCGGGGACTCTTGTGACCGAGCTACTACTGTACGGTGGGAAAGTTTCGTTGATATGGCTGTAACAACTCTATGCTTGATTTAACAGAGTTGTCGTTTGCACCCAGCGTTGTCCTCAACAAGATCGCCTTCTATGTCAGACCCCAAACCCATCAGGAAGTCGCTTTCCTATAACGGGGCATTTCTCTGAACCCACTGTGTCCAGCCTTTCCCCACTGAGGCTCTTTCAAGCTCCACATCTCTGTCCAATTTAGCTTTGCAGAACACTCTATGTTACTCTGTTCCAAGATTCTCTGACCCTGTGGATTACTGCCAGAAATCTTCAGATTTAGTTGGATCCCTACCCTTGCCTCCTCTCCTGCGTCTCTCAGCGATGTTTGTTGTTTCTCTGGAGCCAGTGAGGACCCTTGGGGGAAGCACAAACCAACATGGTCCCAAAAAGAAACTTTTTTCTATGCTGAAACTACGTAAGTGAAGTTCCAAGGCATCCAGAGTGGATCTGGCTAGGAGAAGCAAAGATGCTGGCATGAACTTGTTGGATTTCATGGCCGGAAGCAGAAACAGATTGACCTGGCTCTGTTTAACTCCACTATCACTCAACAATTTAGCCATTGTTAGGACCCAGTCATAGGTGATGGTGAAAAAATGTGAAAAATGGAATAAAGGCTATTTTTGGTTGCACTGGTTCCAAGTTGCTACCTGTCATTTTATACAAAGGCAGCCCCCTCCCACCCTGGATAGAATATTTAAAAGACAAGGGAAAAGCTCATACAATTTTCAGCTGTATGGCTCTAGTATATATAACTGGCTGAACAGGAAGCTATGCAGGAAGAAGGAATTAGAGAGGTTTTCCCACTTGAACACAGGACAAGAAGGGGATGGATACACATTAAAGCTTCCATTTTTGTTCACAAAGATCACTTCAAGTATTTTAGAAACAAGCCTACAAATGCAACCTAGGGAAGGTAGACATTGAAAGTAGTACAGTTGCAAGTGGAAGAAACTTATCTTATTCCGTCTTCCTGTTTAGTTACGTGCCTGAATCCCTGGGATTTCATTGGTACTTTGGAGCGCCTTGTGGTCAGGTTCTGAAGGAGGAAGCAGGTCTCAGTCATCTTCAGCTCCTTGCCTCCTGCACCACCAGTGCTGTAGACCCTCAGCAGACCCTTCTGTTCCAGCCTAAGCACTGTCAGCTGACCTCACAGGCCAAGGGGGACACATACTTGTGGCTGACTGTTTCAGAAGAGCACAATGCCCCTACCAACCCTTGTTGAACATCTTCTATATTCATGGAAATAACCAGAAGACCTGATCAATGATATGCTGCTAAAATACACCATTAGCTGGGAAAAACCTCTGGTTTCTGAAGCAATTAAGTGATGCACGTGCCATTTCCAAAGCACAGATGAAAGCTGGGGGGAAAGAGGGCAGGTCTCCTGCACCTTTAATAGTTGTGTGCGAGAGAGAATTAAAATTAAAGGGGCAGGAGCTCTGTCCTGCTTTTCACCTGCCCACCCTACGCACTAGGTGGGCAGAGAAGGGATAGTTTTTGCAAAGCTGATCTACGCAGCTCAATTCTATACCCATGTTTCCTTCAATGCAAGCCTCAGAGCTTGTTCCTGAGTTCAATGTGCACAGGACTGCGGTCTCTCCTAGCCTTTGAGCCAATTCCTCCAGAATTTCCATGTGGGTGCCAGCTGTTCGGCACGGTGCCACTCAATTCTGAAGAGTTCTGCGCAACATCTGGCCCCAGAGAGACACATTTCATTTTGTCAGTTTTGTCTGGCAGCAGGCAATTCATCACTAGGGAGAAATAATTGTTCCCAGAAGACTAAGAAGTGGTGGCAGAGGGAAAGGAAATGGGGAGGCAGCAGAGGGGGGAGGGCGGACCATAGGCAGGAGAAGCGGTAGATCCATACCATGGTGTAGAAACTGCTGGGTCTGAAATATTCAAAATAAATTGTGAAGAGTAAGCATGAATTCTTCTGGATTGCCAGCTGAGATGCTGACATGGGCAAATGCCTCAAAAAATTCACAGGAAATGAGTAAGCAGCTAAAGAGGAACAGAGGGCCTTTCAGATGCCACCCCCCAACCCCCAAATTTCCTCTTGCTTCTGGTGCCAGTAAAGTTGATATGTGTATCACACATGTATGCTGGGGGATGGGGATCAGCTATGTAATCCTTTTCACAACTTTGGGCCCCTCAAATGCGGGTGGAGGTAAGATATGCTTTCTAGCCCCAAAGAGGGAGAAAAAAAATTTCAAAAGCAAAACCTTAAAGAAAAGTTCAAGGTTAGCACTGTTGTGAAGGGGGGAGAGAAGATGTAAGGAAGAAAGATGTGCTGTACCAAGTCAGGTTTTATTGGTCCATCTAAGCTCAATGCTGTCTACACAAACTGGAAGCGGCTCTCCAGAGTATCAGGCAAAGGCCTCTCCCATCCTTATCTAGAGATTCAATCTTGGATCTCTTGCATTCAAAGAAAGTGCTCTACCATGGAGTTGGACCCTTCCCCAACTAGCATGCAGGTATTCGCTACCTGTGTGTTTGTGATTACTTACGTTGTGTGCAATTAGATCATTCATTTGGTCCTACAATGGAGAGACAAACCACCACCTGCTCATCTTCAGAGGTGATTTCCCGTCATGGCTCTGGATTCATAACTGCAACCTTCCTAGGGCTGCAATGGGGAACCTCCTCTGAAGGCAGACAGGCACTCCTGCTGTTCATCTCTGCATTTGGAGCCAATCAGGTAGGGGGGAACTTTGGTCCTCCGAATATTGCTGAACTACAACTCCCACCATTCATGGCCATTGGGTTTACTTGCTGGGGCTGATGGGAGTTGTAGTTCAGCAACATCTGGAAGGGCAATGGTTCCCCACACATGGTCTACATGAATTCTTCTTCTTCTTGAATACCCCCGTGTGCTCAAGCAGTACAGTGGTGACTTACATGGCCTTTAAAAGTAGCATAATAAAAACATTTTTTCAAGCTGTAGTGGGGGTCCAGTATCATACTAATGATATGTGAAAAGCAGGACTTGGTCACCACGACACTATCATCTTATTTGCCACCAAGGTGGCCAGCTTCAGCTGCAGCTTTCTGTTTAACAGCAATTTGATCTACAGCCATGAGCTCCATGCCACAAAATATTGTTTCTTCCTGTTTCGTTTTTTTTCTACATCAGGCCACTGTTAAATGCAAAGTAGTAGGTTAGGGTTCCCCCTCTTTCATCTCCTTCATCAGTTGGCAACTCTATTATCCATTTATTTGGGGGAGCAGGGATTGCAGTTCCCCACAATGAAAGAGAGCTAGTAATGGGGGGGGGGGACACACACATGCTGTGACTAAAATGTGACCTTGAGGAACGGCACCTGGATTGCCACAACTACCTGCTTATTTTGTGCAAAGGTGTGTGAGAGAAAGAGAAAGCAAGGAGATAGTCAGCAATGAACAAGGAAGCTGGCGTGAGCTCCGCTAATACAGAGTCAGGAGGGGGGGGGAATCAATTAAAAAGAGATGAGGAGGCTCACCTTCCCTTCTCGTGAGATGTTCTTCAGCAAAGGCAGGTGCTCAGCAGTAAGATCCCTGAGTGACTTGATTCCCCGGCAGTGGCAGATAGCAATTAAGTATAAATCGTCTACCTGCAGAGACAGAATAGACAGCAGAGCTTAGATACACTGAGAAAAGATTATTAACTTCTGCCAAAGCAAATCATGAATTCCAGGCACCCAGATAAAGACGCAAGGCAGAGGCCACCTACCTTTTTGGACCCACAAACACATTTACAAACCAGAGTATGTGTATTGGGAACCACACAGCAACTGCAACCAAGCACACACTTTCACCTAGAAGTAGCCAATATGGTGCCTTCCAGATGTTGTGGAATACAACTCCCACCAGCCTCAGCCAGTATGGTCTATAGCCGTGCATGATGGGAGTTGAAGTCCATAGCATCTGGACAGCTACCTCTGCCGTAACCTATTCTATTGGCTACAAGAGAATGCCTCTTTCAAGCCTACCCCAGAAAACACTCCGGGTGCCAAGGAAGGCCTCGGTGGCAGGGAAGGCCCAGCTGACCATACCCCTTGGAAGGCTCAGCATTAGTAAGAAAGGGTCCTTTGGCAGCACGTGCATGTGCCCCTTCACCTGAATGAGATAAAGACACCCTGAAGGCAGGGTCAATGACAGCTAAGACAGCAGCTCCCAATGGGTGGTGGTTGGCTGTTGAATGCATGCATAAGTGTCTGCATGTAGACATACATTAAACACTCACAGCAGCAATAATAGAAACTACCTTCTTAGGAAGACAGACTAGTTTTCTGGACACATGGGGTTGTATCAAATGTTAGTCATACGAAGACGCACTTAACGGACATGACTAATTTAGGTCCATGAATTTTAATGGGTCTATTTTGAATAGAACTTAAGCAGAACCCACTAACTAACCCAGCAGGCTAGCAGAAGCCGGCCCAGGGGCTCCTGCTAGTGCAATGGGGCTTTTCCTGCTCTCCCCCAAATCTGCTCCAGAGGGTCAGGAGAACCAGCAGAACAGTGGATGGGGGAAGAAGGAAAGGAGGATTGTTCTGTCTGGCAAGCAGAAATAAAAGAAGTGCCATGCTGAATTCCTACTATTATGTTTTTTTATGGATGAGCACTTAATTCTGTAATACCATAGCAGTTTTACCATAGGATCTGCTGTTTGCGCTAAACAGGCCTTGGCAGATTGCGGAGGGGTCCCTTGGTGGCATTTGCAATAAAAGTCGGAGAGGCATCTTTGGGGTTGTGTGAGTTGCGGCAGGTGGCACGAGCGAACATCCCTTTTCCTGGATAATGCTGCCTTCCTGGATGATAAAGGCAGAGCTTGTTCCCCAGGTATTTTCCAGCAAGATCTCCAACACTCTGAGAGAGCAAATGCGGAAAGTGAAACATTTGATATCTTCCGAGATTGCATTACCGATACTCTGGGACGGGCTCCAATCACTAGGGCGCTCTAAATAACTCTTCTCAATAATGAATGGATCGTTTGACAATGTCAACTTTGTCAGAAACGTTGCTTAAGAGCATATTTTGGCTAGACTTCCAGCGTTTCCCTGAATACGTTGAGGAATGAATGTTAAAACATCTGGATATAAAAGTTGTTTAACTCCCAAAGGAATGCTGCACATCACCGTGGCCCACTCAAGGTGCATAGAAGTTGCTACAAGTAAACCGAAAGGCCACCTGGGAAGAAAGCCACCTGGGAACTATTCGGCAATGCAGAGGCAGAGGAGCATGACTGGAAAGTTAAACCATAGGAATTGGATGTATACATAACACAGGTATAGAAATCGAACACTAAAGCACTTGATGTGCAGCCAAGTAGGCATATAAGCTCTACGTACAATGGCCACACGCTGAATGTTAATCTATATAATTCGCAGTGGGTTTTGAGCAAGGGCAGATTAAGACTTTTAGAAAAGGAGGAGGAAGGACGAGACACATAGATATAACAAGGGCAAAGAGAACCATCCAGTTTCCTGGCTCACACACCAAAAATCTATTTTTGGATATTCCCAGGGAAAGAGCCGTCCAAATAATTCAATGGAAAAATCCAAGTTTTTAATGTAACTGAGATAGTATCTCTCTCTCTCTCTCTCTCTCTCTCTCAAATCTCAAAATGGAGCATAGATATATTCCCAAAATGGCACCATGAGGATTGTGCATGCTAGTAGGCACAGAATGCTGATGACTGTTGGAAAGGGTGAGAGGAAAACAGGGACTGGGGCTGCCAGGGAAAACAGAATGGAGCAGCTTGAACCAGGAACAGAAGTACAGTGGTGCCTCGCAAGACGAAATTAATCCGTTCCGCGAGTCTCTTCGTCTTGCGGTTTTTGTGTCTTGCGAAGCACGGCTATTAGCGGCTTAGCGGCTTTAAGAAAAAGGAAACAAACTCACAAGAACTCGCAAGACATTTCGTCTTGCGGAACGACTCAAAAAACGGAAACCCTTTTGTCTAGCGAGTTTTTCGTCTTGCGAGGCATTCGTCTTGCGGGGCACCACTGTACAGTGGTACCTTGGGTTAAGTACATAATTCGTTATGGAGGTCCGTTCTTAACCTGAAACTGTTCTTAACCTAAAGCACCACTTTAGCTAAAGGGGCCTGCTGCTGCTGCGCCGCCGGAGCACGATTTCTGTTCCCATCCTGAAGCAAAGTTCTTAGCCCGAGGTACTATTTCTGGGTTAGCGGAGACTGTAACCTGAAGTGTATGTAACTTGAGGTACCACTGTATATGACAGGGCAACATTTTGTTGTTGTTGTTAAGCACATCAACTACCTAAAATTTTCTTAGTGCTATAGAGATATTAAAATATATATGTACAGTGCTCCTTCAATCCTTGCTTGCTGTTCACAATCTAACGAACACGATACAAAATGAAAAAAGGCACAGGGAAGGAAGAGGAAAACAAGCATCGAAGTCTCTGCTCCTTCACTGGAGGTTGGATGGGAACAGGTTACCCTCCCTCTGAGCACAATACTTTTCCTGGGGGGCAGGAGGTGGAGTAATGGCTGCAGATGACATAATGTGCAATGCTAAAGGCCTCATGAAGCTTGAGGAGGTTAGGAGCTAACTGTGAAAACTACCCGAGGGGTGTGTGTTATTTGCTGTGTTTCACACAAAAAACCATGTGTAGTCCAAACTTCAGGTGCTGAAGTCTTCTAGCACTGAAAGAAGATTTCTACATTTGAGGTCATCAACGTGATCCAGCAGAAAGTGTGCAGGATCTGGGAACTCTTCTTTCAAATGTGGGTCTCCCCAGGATTTCAGGAGTCGGCCCTGGGCATAGGCACTGTCCCCAGTTCCCCCACTCTGATCCCCCACTGTCCTCAGTCCCATCCCCACCCCAAATTTCTGTAGTTGTAAGATCATGACACCCCACCTATAACAAATGGGATAACAAAATCCTGTTAACTGGTCTGAGCCCAAGAGATAAGGGGGGTTATTTATACCTGTAAGCCACCCAGAGTGGCTGAAGAAACTCAGCCAGATCAGCAGGGTATAAATAATAAAATTATCATCATCGTGATGATGATTATTATTAAACTAAAGTAAATAACTATTTTTAAAAACCACCCAAATGCAATTGCTCTTTTGGTTATTTCTTAAAAAAACAAATCAGACACAAACGAGGAATGCGGTCTCTATGGAAAGTGTTAGAAACATACATGAAAGAGAAGTGGAGCTTCCAGCTGTTGCTCAAGCACTTGAATTCTTAGAAGTGCTTGCAACTAAAAATACCTCTCACCCTTTCAAGTCTGGAACTGGCAACAATCCAGGGTGAGATTTGGAGCTCTGACCGCATGCTGCTCTGCACTGGAATCAGGGTAACAATTAGTCATGCTGAGAGAGCAACGAACCAGCAGCTAAGTCTGAGGAGTGTGAGAGACGACCCTTTGCAGAGTTCAGATTGGTCAAGTTCCAGCTAGAATAAAATAATATATTGGGCCCAGAATGAGTCCACAAAGAGGGGCAGTTTACAGCCACTGCAAATGCTGTTTATTTCACCCTGGTAGGTCCTCAACGAGCCTTCAAAAAGCCTTACAGAGCAATCCAATTCCCACCTTGCACCTTGGTCCTCCCTTCAGCTCTCCGGGCTGAGCTGGCCTCCCACCGGCTGCCTCAGTGGCTGCGGCCCCCATGAATGACGAGGCTGTGGCTGTGGTTCCTTCCACCACTCCACAAAACCTTGCCGGTGGAAGTTCTGATTATGCCCTGAATCTGGTACGCTCTCCCCTTCTCCCTTCCCCACTGAATGGCGGTTACCTTGTTCTCTTCCTAGTAGGAAGCAAATCACAATATACTGTTTTGCCTGACCAGTCATTTTGCCTGGTTTGAGAAAGTGGAGCCCACCATTTCAAACTAACTTATGATGGTTCGCATGCACTCTACAAACCAGGTTTGGAAACCACGATCAAAACTTGGTTTCCAAGGGAAGCACAAACCACAGTTCACTGGCAGATATGACGCAAAACATTACTATTTGCCTCAAGCTAAGTGTAAGCCAGACACAGGGAAGGGGCACCTAGGAGATGCTGCGATCCACGGGCCCTATTGGGAATAGGCCGAAATGGAAGAACTAGTTAAGAGCAAGATAACTTAAAGTACAGAAACTTCAGCTATTTATTGAGTTTAGGCTCTTTGTACAGATCCAATCTCACAGTCCATTCCCTGGGCAAAACAGGCTCCATTTCCCTCTGTAGATTCCAAGAATTCAGTCTGGCCCCTGTAAGAAGGACAGTTCTGTGACTAGAATCACCCCAGCTTGTTAGATCTGTGGTACTCCAATGGTCTATTTCCCAGAGCTATACTACTTAGGGACCAATTGGTTCAGTGGGTCTCTTGCTAGTTCCTCCTTGGGAGATTCTAGGGTCACACCTAGTGACCCTACCCAGGTTTTTCTCTTAAAAAATCTGGGGTGAAAGGGGGAAATTCTTATCAGAGGCCCCCAAACCTCCTTGCAGCTTCAGTGGTGTCAAGAAATGACACCCTCAGGGCTCTGCTCCTCATCCCTCCTCCAGCACCTGAAAACAGCTACCTCTGGGCTATTTAAATCCAAGGGCTTTTCATCAGTCCAAGGTGAAAGCTGCTGTTCCCTGTCCCTCCCATTTCTTGACTGGGCTGCTGCTCACTCCTACAAAGGTGGATTGGGGACTTCTTAAATGGGCAGTCATGGTTGATGCCTGTCTGCCTGAAATTATCTCCTATGATGGTCTACTAGGAAAGAAGAGAGGGGATGTGTGTGCATGAGAGGATGTGGGGATGAGAGGAAGAGAGTGAACAAGCTCAAAGCTCCTTGAAGGCTCATCCTTGTAGTCTGAACCAGCAATGCATGAGCAATGGCTGCTGAAATCCAGATCAGTAGCGGAAATGGATTTTCAGTGTTTCATGGTGGGGCTTTGGCCGCCTCCTAAATCATTGTCTCATTAGATTTGTGCATTGCCTACACCAGCCCCTCTAGTGAAAGGCAGCAAGCCCTGTGGCCACATTACAACCATCAAAAATTAGGAGATGTTAGCTCCTACCTTAAAAACTGTGCCAGTGTTTAAAACTAATAAAACTGCTAAATATTACCAAAAAGATCCAGGGAAAAGAAAGAAAGAAAAGTAACCTATTTGTCTGGCGCCAAAAAGATTGCAAAGAAGGCATCGGGTAACCTTAATTGGGGACAGCATTCCATAGGCTGCATCTGGGGTGATTGACCATAATTTATACAAGTCACAGAACTGATATTTTCCTGGTACAGAATGCTGCTGGTTTTCTTTTTCTTAGCACGAAGTACACACGTCCCTGAGCACAAGCTGTTCCTTACTCTGGGCAGAGTTCAGTAAGTACTCCAGCTGAATCTCCGCCATACAGCCTTCCTATTTTAGCTTCAGGATCTGCTGTTGGCCCAAGCCCACACACTAATGGCATGGCTTGGACATTGGACCATGGTCCGCCTGCATCCTGCCATGGCAGAACTGGCCGCTTTGGTTGCCCTTCAGGCCCCTGGATGGAATAAATCTCTTTTTTCTGTAGTACAACTATTAATTTGATTGACGTGGACTAATCCCCTGGGATCCCACCTCAACACACGGGCTGGACGATACGTCTACTAATTCCACCCGGCAACATCTGTTGCTTTGTTTAGCAAGCAGCTTCCGTGAAAACAGCTTGTAGAGATCGCTTGACAGTTCAAATAACATCAGCTCCAAGGTTGCTCTTCTTTTATTGAGGTCACAGGTTCTCTGAAGAATTTCAGATTGTCAAGGTGCACCCCCCCACACACATTGCTGTCCTCCAATAATTAAAGGCCTGCAATAAAGTCCCCTGCCTTTCCTAATTAGGCCCCCCACCCATCCCAGGGAAAACTCCCCAGTGGAGTACGTTTCAAAACCCTACTGTATTAGGATTGCTTTTGAAATTCTTCTGGATCCTCCCTTGTCAACTGGAAGCTCAGAAAGCCATGGGAGCTTTTGGAGAAAAATGACTTGGCTACGTAATCCACGCTCTAGTAACTCCCAGACTGGATTACTGCAATGCGTTCTGAATACTGATCACTGACTGTAATAAAGATATTGACTCCACTGTGCTCTATGTGGGGCCATGGGCTGTTCGCGTCTGGAGGACGCAGGTGGAGGGTTTGCCAAGCATCCAGGGAAGGGCTCCAGCGGGATGTGGAAGACTTTGCCAGAATAGGGGCAGCCTGACAGTGAATATCCAGGATGTATGTCCTTCAACCTGCTCTCTTGCCTCATCCCACCTCCTTCTCAGCTGTCAAAGTCTCTCTCTGACACTTCCACAGTGCCTGTCGCGCCACCTACCCTGGTGGCATCAGACACTGGCTGTACCCCTGCCTCTCCGGGGATATTCTGCTGGCACCATCTGCCTCCCTAGGGAAGAGACAACTTCCCCATTACCTAGATCCAGGAAGCGCCAAAGACGGCGAGAACAGATGGCACAGAAGGAGATTGCAAAAATGCTTGCTGTTGCTGCACTATGTTGAGCCTTCCCCATTCCTATATATAGGATACCAAGAGGGTGTGCCAGTGTTGGATCAACATCTAAAGCTTTGAGATTTGGATCACTTGCCTTTGTTGCAGCTGTAGGTAGGATTAATTATGTGCATTGCCTGAAGTGCCGCATGCCAGCGATTTGCACATGCATTGCAGCAATCTAAACATGGAAGCCCTTTGAAAGAATTCTTGTTCTTCAGCAACTGGGAGCCAGGACAGACTGCCCTTTGAAGATGACTTGGAAACTTCAACTGGTCCAACAGGCATCAGCCAGATTACTGGTTGGGGTTCCACTTGTAAGTCACATAACCCCTGTTTCAAGGCAATTGCATTGGTCACCAGTTTGTTTCCAGCCCCAATTTGAGGTGCTCATGCTAAGAGTTTTAAACCCCAAATGACTTAGAGATTGTGCCCTTCTCTACAGACCCTCTTGGTAGTTCCACCCCCCTCAGAAGCTTGTGGTGTGCTTGCCCAGGAGAGGCCATTCTCTGTGACAGTCCTAAGTTTTGGAATTCCCTCCCCGCAGAGCTGTATCTGGCACCTTCATTATACGGATTTCATTGTATACTCACAAAAGCCTTTCAAAACAAATTTTAAAAGCAGCAGCAGGTGTGTGTAAAAATAATAATTAGAGGCAGGAAAATCCAAAGGTGAGGTGAGGTGCAATCACTGTCTGGAAGCCAATGTTAGCAAAAAAACAAAATAAAACAGCAACAACAACAAAACTCTCAGCAGACCAAAATGATTTTGATGAAGAAGCATAAAGGAGATGATCTCTATGATATAAAGGACCCAAGTTTATGACTGCTTGTTTGTTGAGCGTGCAAAGGTGCCGTCTGGTCATGGGGAACTTCTCTGACCGAGAAGACCAAGTTATGCTTTTTCATCACTTGCATTTTAGAAATAGGCAACCTTTTTTCCGGTGGTACAGCTGTTTATAGGGCAACTGTCCTTTTATATAATACCTTAAGGCAGAGTGAAAAGCTCTCAGGCATTATCAGGAATGGAATGATTAATTTGGTCAATTAAAAGTATTGCTGCAAATCCAAGCTTGCAGATTATGAAAATAAGGCTTTGGCAAGTCAAACGTTAACAGAAATTGTATGAGATGAAATAAAAACAATATTTATGTTAGATCTGTCAGGAGCCTAAGAATGCCAAAATGTCCAATTTCTAGCCTTTGCCACTGTTTTCATTTTTACTATAAAGAGCTTAAATGGGCATCTATACTGATGATCACTTCCCAAACATAGTAACAGTCAAATTTCTTTCTTTCTTTCTTTCTTTCTTTCTTTCTTTCTTTCTTTCTTTCTTTCTTTCTTTCTTTCTTTCTCTCTTTCTCTCTTTCTTTCTTTTTTACTGGAAGTTGGTGCATTACACAACAAAAAGAAAATGCACCATATCTGGTACTGCAAGCTGCTCTATATAAAGAAGTTTTTTCACTATTCAGGCAGCTGTAAACAGGCATTTTTAGAAGTCTCATTCTACAGATGGCAAAGCATTGTTCCAAAAGAGCAGGGGAAAGGGAGTAGAGCTTCAAGTCAGGACTCATGTAATGTCCTCAAGAGACTGAAGGGTGGGGTAAGCACACTGAATGCAAAACTGTGAGTCCTCCAACATTACACAGATCATCAGCAGGGAGACTCATTTAATTCCTAGGATCCCTGTTCTCCTTTCAAGGACAAGCACACCCCACGAGTCCGTTTCTCATTGTTGAAATCCCCCTCTACCTACTGTACCCTGAAGCAGCCTATCTCAAAGGGATTATAAAAGCAAAGAGCTGTTCTGCCCTTTAGGTTAAAAGAACCAGAGAACCTGGTTTACAGGCTTCACATAGGCATCTGTTTGGCCACAGGATGCTGGACCAGATGGGCTTCTGGCCTGATCCTGCAAGGCTCTGCTTAGGTTTCCTTTCAACGTGTAGCTGAAAGTTGAAAATATCCATATTCTGAAATATTATCTTTCCCCCACAATTAAAGATAACAGCTGTCCCTCCAAAGAATAAAGAAAAATCTTAACTAACCTGCTTTTGATTCCACTTAAGATCTGGTATGAGAACAAACCCATGGGCAGGATCCGGGTTTTCGTAGATTATTCGATCAGCCTCGGCCTTCTTCTCCAGGATGTTGTATACCCACTAGGGGGAAAAGAAACACAGGGGGGAAACCCAAGCATGATAAATTGTCAACATCAAATAATGCATCTCTCTATCACAGGCTGTTTATATATTTATTTTATAGATGGATGGATGATAGATAGTTTTGCTCTCTTGCTTGTGGAAACCTCATTACAAGTATAAAAACTGCATTTGGATTCAGGAAAGAGCCAAACGATTTCAAAGCTAATAAAAATTGAGGTTAATTATCCACAAAACAATCAAATGTCATGTGTCAGGACCCTGGTCGATAGATAAGGGGCAAGAGGGAATTGCTCTCTTCATGTGCCATCATTGCCCTCTTGGACAGATGAATTAGTGGGGAGGGTGTATTTGCCTTCCTCCAAAGGATTATGTATCTGCCGTCTCTGAAAGCAGAACCCCCACACTGAACAGATTCTTAAGACAGCGTGTTTCCAAAGCACAATTGCAGCACTCCCGTGCAAGAGAGTTTGGAAAGGGATTATCCTTGAAATTGACTTTGCTGCAAGAGAACTGCTTAAGTGCAGTGTGTGGGGAGGAATAAGAGATGGTTTGTGAAATAAAACAGTAATGACCAGGGGCTTTGTGCCAGTCCTAACCCTGGGATCAAATTGAGGACTCTTGGGTCAGAAGGGGGATTGCAGGAGGCTGGATTGCAGAGGATTCCAAGAAGGGAGAGGTGGGACTTTGGTCTGTCAACAACTAGCACCTGGTCCACAGACTAGGCAGGCATAGGGGTCACCTTGTCACAGTCTTGCTTCCCACTATGGTGGCAGGTGCTACTGTATTTCCATTTAAATGGCTGTGATACGGAACCACCTTTGGAACAGCACTTTATGTAAAAATATTGTTCGATATACAGCAGACCCACGACTTACACACATTTAACTTGTGTGCATTCAGCTTTATGCACTTGGCATAACAACAACAACAACAACAACAACATTTGAAAGGGGATGGGCATCTGGGGGAAAAACCTTTGGCAATCCCACCTGCCATTGCATCCAATGTGTTTTTCGACTATATACAATTTTGGCTTTAGATGTTACCCCTGGAATGTAACTGCACCCCCCCCCCAATAAGTTGCAGGTCTAGTGTATTTACTCAATGCCTACTTTATAAAAGATCTCCGTGGAAAATATTTGCCGGGGTTTATTTGCAAGAAGAGCTCCGTTAAACCTAGTGCTTTCCCCCCCTTTCTGTCTGATAATGAAAACTAAGATACTTTGCATGTTTCTTTACTTGCCCTCTTAGACAGGAAAGTAAGAGCTAAATTTGTAGCTCAACTCTAGATATATATATTTTTTTGCTTTCTGTTGTCATGGCTTATAGCTAAACAAATAAAAGCTATTGCTTACCTACCTGCATATTTAAAGGAAAGTAATCATTTCTGAACTTCATATCTACATATAAATTAGGACAGGCAAATTTTACGCACATCTGTGCCCTCTTTCGCCCTGTTTTTTGGCGACGAACCACCGGCCACCCAAACTAAACTTGTAGTATGTGAACTGTTTTTGCATCTGCCCCCTAATGAGAAACACACACGGAGGCTGCTCCGTTCCTGGGACTTGAAACAGAAATGTGAGGAACAGAGCCCAATGTCTGAGCAGCCTGATGTCACTTCCAGTGTCAGCACTCGCCCATCTCTCTGTGGGAGGCTGTTTCCTGCTGTGAATTAGCATCAGTAAACACTAAGAATTGCCACAGGTATAGTTGCAAAAAAATCCCAACAAAAATAATAAGGAAAACAATGTTTGAGAGCACATTTGGCGACTGTGAAACAAACTCCATTACAGACTTTTGCAGCAGTAAATAATTAGAAACATATCACAACAGTGACGCTGCATTTAGCCATGGGGAGCATGTAAGCGAGAGAGAGAGGGAAATATGTTTTTTTCCCCTCTCCACATTTTCCTAGCAATAAAATACTCAGGTTTGTGTGCAGGAAAATGTAGCATCTCTATGAGAGAAGGTCGGAGTGGGGGGCATCTTGATCCTCCGAATTAAACAAGCAATAATTGCACATTTTTTATTATAAAGATTTTTCTGCAAAGGTCTTTAGAAGATACTTGAAGGGCTAGAATTACAAAGCAGTGGAAGATTGGGGAGGCAGCAGTAGCCAGCAAAAACCACAATGGAACAGGGGCTAGGAGTCTGGGCAGATCAAAGAACCCTCATTATAATTAGCCAAAAATGTGACTTTCTTCATCAAAACTCTGTGCAAATAATAACTAATTAATTAATCATGCACCAAAGCGGTGTGGCATTTCTGAAACAATTATGCTCCCCCGGTGCAATCAGCAAGCGCTTCTTCCCTAAGAGCCACCTGCCTTATTCCTGTAACACTCAAATGTTTGTGTCCTTTTAGTCTTTAAGGAGAAAGGGAAGAAAACTTATCAGAGTATGGAGGGGCTAACTGATCCCACCCACAACTTCCCCACAAATCCCTCACCCTGCCCTGTCCTGGAAAAAAACCAACAACCCACAAATCTTTACAATCTAAGAAACTTGTTGCAGAAGGAACAACGAATGGAGAAATAAAATAAAAAAGTGAATTCGGGTACCAGCTTATGTGACGTTAGTGACTGTTGTAACGAATGGGGATCTACAAAAACATTGTTGCAGGGTGGTTTGGTGCAGAGTTACAGCCAGCTAGCTACGCTCCCTTCCAGGATACTCCATTTCAGCCCCTATTCCCAAGGGCTTTCTGTTTCCCCTCCCTAACTGTCAGCCAGCATTCTGTGGTCCTTGAACATGCTCTCCTGACTGCGGTTGCACACACACACACCCTTGCACACGCTGATACCTCCCTCTTGGATGCAGATGCCGACATCTTGGCTTCGCAAGGATCCACACTCGGAGGATGGGTTTATGAACAGGTGGAACAACCAACAAGAGAGGCAGTTCTGAGACAAGAGGAACCACCAGAGTGGGGCGCACTTTCTCCCCTGCCTAGTAGCTGTCAGTGGTGCTGTGTTGACCTTGCTGCAGGTTATCGGGAGGAAGAGGTGGAGACAGCAATGAGGTGCAAATGCACAAGCAGAGCCAATCCAATGCTCCTGATCTCTCCTCCTCCTTCCCGATAAACCACAGTGATGCAAGTGATAGGAGGTCAAGGAAGTGCTGCCCCTCTGCCAACTGCTACCACTACACACAAGTGGAATATTTACTGTTGGTGTCCCTGTCTGACTTTCTCGTTCTCCCTTCTTCAACCCCAGCTCAAGCCCCACCTCTCCCTAAAGTTCTTAGCTCTCAGCCAAATTAGAATGGATTGCATTGCTCATATTCCGCCCATGTTCATCTTCTCTTATCCCTCTCCTCTTCCTTCCCCCAAACACTCTCCCGATTCCCACTTATTGCAACTGTAAGCTCCTAAAGGCAGAGACCTGACTATTTAGCCATGTGTGAGCCAGTGTGGTGGAGCGTTCAGGGTGTTGGACTAGGACCTGGGAGACAAGGATTCTAATTCCCACTCACTGGGTGACCTTGGAGAAAAGGCAGGCTATAAAAAGCATAAACAAAATATTTTTATGGCACTAAAAAATAATGGTACAGACTTCGCGAAAAGTCACAATTATTGTGCACTAAATATCTACCCATGGTCTCTTGCTCAATGCAGAGGGCACAGAAGTCATATCCAAGTGGGAAAATACATCAGGAAACAAAACAAAACCTACTGTATACTGAATATTGCCAGAAGCCGGATGAAATTACATCCATTAGAAAAAGAAAAAAGCCAAACCAACTGCTAAATCTCGTTAAGTACTCATAATTATTCCTCTAAAAGCCTGAGTCACAAAAGCCTGTCTGAAAAGCCTGAGTCAGATAAAGTCTGCTTGCTAAACTCAGTGAGATATCCCTAAAAACAGTTCATTAAAGTCTCACCCAAGTGATGTTTAGGCTTCTGCTTCTGAACAGAGCTCTCCCCCATCCTGTCCCATCTTTTCTGAATTGAGGGGAGATTCATAAATAGCTTGTGGTAGAACTTTGGTGGTTGTGTGTGAAAAGTGTGGGGTGTCAAGGTAGGAAAAATCCACGATTTCACTGGGTTTTCCCCCAAGGTCTTGGGCGTACCCACTTTTTCATCTCCTTGGAACACAAACAAGGACCATACTGAGAAAGATTTATAATGAGTGGTTGCATTCCATACCTGAATACTGAAGCTCTGCGACTCGATAAAAGGCAGAGTAATTTTTTTGTAATCCTCCCCAGTCTCCTGGATGAGAGACAGTTCCTGACGCAAATATTTCTGAAGGTGTTTCTCCGTTGCTGGGTAAACCACAGTGGTTTTTATCTCTGAAATGTAAAGATAAGATTGCTATCAAAGAAGAGTAGTCTACATTCTTCCTTCTGTGTCCTTGATCAATTTCTAGGAATTGTCTGCATGGTGTCTGAAAAGCTAAATGGTGTGGTTGCCACCTAATCCTGCTTCCAATCAGGCCACAAGTTCTCAAGTCCTATCAAATGACTGAATACGCCATAAAGTTAAGCAATAAATTACAGGTGTAAAAACCACAAATTGGTTTTTGGATAGCATAGGAGGGCATAATGGGATGTGAAACCTGAAAGATATCTTACCATTCAGTTCTGGTCAATGGAAGGAAGTTCAGAGAGATCAGCCACAGTCAAATGAAACCCCAGGCAGCCTTCACAGCAGGGGTGGCGAACCTCCAGCCTATAGGCCAAATTTGGCCCACAAGGTCTTCTCATCTGGCCACAAACCATGCCCACCTGCCCCACTCTTGGCACCATGTGAGACATCAGATGTGGGGTAGGTAGAGGCACAGCTGGATCACTTGTGCTCTGTAAAAGGTAGGATTGGGCTCCCTGTGCACCAGCCGATACATGGGGAGTTGAATCCTGCGCCATTGCGATCTTCTCTCCACCCCGTGAACAAGCTTTGACAGAACACCCACCTGTGAACCACCTGGAATCATATAATTGACAGGTGAGTGGCCCTGCTCGCCTGTCAAAGTTGACCTTTGGGGTGGGGAGAGGTAAAGATCTGGCCCACCTGGACAAAATGGTTTCCCACCCCTGCTTTACAAAGTTTCTTCTCAAGGAGATAGCAATCGCTTTTAAGTAATCAGTTTACTGAGCAGGTATTACAAGGGCACAGAAACAAGCACAGAGTTAAGTGGTGTCAATTTCCAAAGCAACAACAGCACCATGGAGCCCCCAAACCAGCACCTATCAAACTTTGCTTGCATACACTCTGCTACACCCATCAGGTTTGAGCTCCCACCCTGAAAGATGGATCTGGCTCGCAATCCAGCAGCTGGAAAATGGACAACATTCTGTTATTACCTTGTCTGTTAAGAGGCTGGGCAGCATAATACACTGCACCAGACTTCCCCACCCTGGTTTCCTCCAGATGTTTTGGACTGCAAGTCTCATCAGCCCCACCAGAACACGGCAATGGAGCTTGTGGTCCAAGAACATCTGGAAGCCACCTGGCTGAGAAAGGCTGCTCTACACCATTGTTCCTGTTAATCAAGGTATCCCTTCTGGGCTTGTTGGGTTTGGTGAGCACTGTTTTAGGGTGATTCCTGGAGAGCATATCTCAGAAAGTGGAGCTGGGGTAGACCAGAGATAGTAACGCTAGCAAAAGGAAAAATCAACAACATGCATACCTAGGAACAAAGGCACCTTTCAGCTATAGACCTGTTGGGAAACTTGCACAAGACTTTCAAGAACTGGCTGCCCATGACAACTCAGCTGCGCTCATCACAAGAACTATGTGTTATTCAAAGAAGAAAAAGGAAGGTTGCCTTCACCCTAGAAGCCAAAAAAATGCTAGTTTGCTAGAAAAGTTTGCATAGATGTTCCCAGCAAAAGATGGGTGGGAAGGGACAAACTGGGGAGAATATTTGTTTGACTCTTATATTTCCAATGAGCAAAGCTGAACAACAACAAATTATGGACATACTGGACAGGACCACTTCCAAGGGAGAGGCTCTCAGACATAAGATGGATAAAAAATGTATACAACCCAACCCTCAGAGAAAACAGTTGGTCCAAATAAAGCCCAACTCAAATCCCTAATGGCACAAGAGTACATGGAAATGGACACATCAAGCAGATGTCCAGCCTGGATTGGCAAAGGCTTCACTTTTGTTTGTTTGTCCTGGACTTGATTCATGCAGTCACGTTCTTTTGGTGGAAATCCAACCCAGGTGCACTAGAAGCAAGCTGTCTGAAGTCACAGCAGCAGATTGGACATGTCCTCTTTTTACTCGTGAGGAGGGGGAGCAAACTATTGCCACATACATACTATAGGACAATTCATCTAAGCCCCATGGTGGTCCCCACAGCTGGGTTGCTGTGAGAGCCCAGACGCGCGAAGCCAGTTCTGCCTTCAGGAAAGGAGATGCAGAATTTGCCATACTATTCAACACCTTCCAATTCATAACACTGTTAGAGGAGGTTTAGTAACTTATTAAGAGTCTCCACATGGCTTCAGTATGGAATCCTTTGTTTCCTCGATACAGAACTCTTTGTTACCTCTCAATATGTGAAACGTATCTTGCTTAACATTGAGATTCTTGATTGATGGATGACAGATGGGGTGCGTGTTTTTGGACCTCAGGTTCAGGGTTAAGTATGGAACAATATTAGATCTTGCTTGTTAATTACAAGCATCTATCCAATAAGCAAAAATCTGTTGATAACCTTTTAAACTTTCTGACAGCTCAGCAAGAAGGATGATGCAGATGGCAGGAAGGAAATGGTGAAAGAATTTTTCGGTAGAAATTTGTGAGAAGTCATGCCGAAGTTTCTAGGAAGACAGCTCAGCAGTGAGGAAAAGTCTGGCGTCTCCCACATGGGCTGCGAGGCATCTGGCAAAACCCTGGTTTCTTTTGTCCATGCTGCAGATCTGAAAGGCTGGGTGGTTTTAACTGTGATTAGGAAACCCGACTGGGCCTGGCTACCCAAGGCAGTTGCCAAGGTGGTCCTCATAATTACAATGGAAGCCTTAGCCATAAAATCACAGAACTGGTAAGTACCTTCAGGGATCATCTAATCCAGGGTTCCCAAACTTGGGTCTCCAGCTGTTTTTGGACTACAATTCCCATCATCCCTGACCACTAGTCCTGCAAGCTAGGGATGATGGGAGTTGTAGTCCAAAAATAGGTGGAGGCCCAAGTTTGGGAAACCCTGATCTACCCAACCACCTGCTTGGGATTATTATTATTTTTTGGTAAACTGCTTTGAATTGCTGTTACAGTTTTTCAATCAAGCGGTGTATAATTTTTTGATTACATGAATATACAAATAAAGCTTTAGTGCAGAAAGCAACTACAGCTTCCCTGACAGAGGCCCGGCCAGCCTTTCTTTAAATACCTCCAGTGCCTGAAAGCCCACCTCTTCCTGAGCCAGTCTGCTCCACTATCAAAACAGTTTGCACTGCTAGGAAAGTATCTTCTGATATTTAGCTGAAATCTGCTTCCCTGCAGTTCCCACCTGTTGGTTCTAGTCCTGGCCTCTCAGCAAAAAAGAACAAATCTTCTCCATCTTTTGCATGACGCCCCTTCAAATACCTGAATGCTGGTATTATGCCTCCCTCTCAATTTCATCTCTGCCACCCCCAACCCTGTGCCCTTGGAACCAAATGACCCAACTCCAAATGAAATAATTGGTTACAGTATGATCCCAATTCCTTTCCTTCATTCCTCTGAACTTAAACTGGGCTGCAAAGGAAGATTCAGTTGCAGGAATCAGCTGTGCTTGGCAGTTCCTGAGTTGGTCTGCCTTGCTTGCCAAGAAACAATCTGGAGCGCATTTTAAGGCTCCTGTTTATTTCCTCATAGCAGCACCTTTACACTTGACCTCACGTAAGACATCAAGTATAGATGGGCACAGTGGAAATGGCTTTGTAGACCAAAACAGAATTCCTATGGAGAGTCCCCATTGCTGTTCTAAACACACCCAACTTTTTCATCCTTTCCTCATAAGGACTTGTCTTCCAGAGCTCTCATCACCCTGGTCACCCTTCTCTGGACACAATTCAACAATGTCTTCCTTAAAATGTGGCATCCAAAACTGGACCCAGGAATGCAGACATGGACCAGTGCTGAGTAGAGCAGTACTATTACTATGAGACTGAGAGCTAGTGCAGTGAAATGGTTTGGGTGTCGGAATAGGACTTGGGAGACAAGGATTCAAAGCCCCACTCACCAATGAAGTTCACTGGGTGACCTTGGGCCAGTTGCTGTCTCTCTGTCTAACCTACCTCACAGGGTTGTTGTGGGGGTTAAATGAGGAAGGGGAAACCGTGTACGCCACCTTGAGTTCCTTGGAGAAAATGGTGGGATAAAAATGCAATACATACTGTACATACCTACATACTGTACTTCTTATGATATGGACACTATTCTCCTGTTAATGCAGCCTAAGACTGCTTTAGCCTTTTTAAGCCGGAAAATGGATGTAATACCTTCAGAAATGTAGCATGTTAAAAAAAAAAGTCAATTCTTTCCTTTCCGGTATCAGTTTCTTGCAATCCTTCCTCTTTGTCCCATTTCTGCTTTCCGTCTCTGCACATGCTCCTTCATTACGCGGAACCAGCTGCCAACGCTTCTGACCAGAGTCACTTGGGTGACTATTCTTACACATCCGATTCCGTTTGCTACACTAATAAACCACAAAGAATGTGCCTTTTTGCATACACTGGAATGCTCATTCAGCTGCTGCTCGCAGGTCATGATAGCAGTGGGAACATGGAAGCCCCATAACTGTTTCCATTTCAATGCAGAAATGCATTCATTTTATCTCTAGCTATCAGTTAACCTGCAGACCAAGCTTGTTGCTAATGAACGTATTTCTGAGTATCCCTGAGGATTGCAAGAGCAAAAAACTGAACTCTCATGACTGGAGGCTGCTTGCTACCAGTCCAGACACTGAAAATCCCCCGTAGGAAACTGGCAGGCTCTACTGGCAAAAAGAGAGGGTCAGGGCAAATGTCAGCACCCTTCATCATAGCTGCTGCTAATTAGCTAGGCTGAAATAGAAGGGGGAGCAAACCCCTGGGTGAGTGACCCTCCCAATTTCCCAAAACTGCAAAACAGCAAATGTGCCAGAGGAGCCTGAAAGTGTTTACTACAGTCTGCAAAATAATCCGGACATTTCAGGGCCCAGGAAGTGCAGCTGAGTGCTTTTTCTCATTGGTTCATCCCATTTATTCTGGTGTGGGGCTTGATATTTATTTATTTATTTATTTGTAATTTTAATGAATGTTTTGTTTATATGTTATGTATTGTACCCTACCCAGGTATTTGCAAAGATGAATGGTGGGT